GAACTTTCATGGGAATTACCTAGGTCCTACGCATATGTGTAACAGTTGTGTAGCTTGGTCTTTTGTGGGATTCTTAACAGTGTGAGCAGGGGGTTGTCTCTGATGCTTTTTGCTGAACTTTGGGACCCTTATCTTCATACTGGATTGTCTTGTCCAGCCTAAATACAAGGAGGTGTTTAGTCTTACTGCAACTTGACATGCCATGTTTTGTTAATATCCATGGGAAGCTGCCCTCTTGTGAATAGAAACTGAGTAGTTGTGGATGTGGGGAGCAGAGATGAGGCATTGGAGGGGACTGGAGGGACAGAAATGAGGGGAAACTCAGTTGGGTTCTGAAAGGAAGGAAGGAAGGAAGGAAGGAAGGAAGGAAGGAAGGAAGGGAAAGAAAGCAGGTCTCCATCAAAGGCAGTCATCAAGGAAATTAATAGTTTACCACAGATAGTAAAGAGATGACTTTAAAAAGAGACAATGAAAATACACAGGGAATAGATTTGTGATTACAAATGATCCACCTTGACACCCTACCTAGCAATCACATAAACAATTGAATCACTAAACTAATAATGAACCAGAGAAGTGAGTTTCTGAAAACATGGAAGGGAAACAAATGTGTATTAAGAGTAAAAATCAAAACCTATTGTTGACTATATTTTGATGGAGTTTCATACTGAATACATTTTCTTTTTTCCCTTCTGAGTTCTAATGCTCTGACAGAAAATCCTGCTTCAAAGGATCTTCCTTCATTCTTTTTATCCAGGCGGCAAGCACGTGTGTCACTGCTGAGTAAACCTTTGTAGTACAGCTCTGAAAGAGCTACTGCAGAGTAAAACTGGGTATAAAACTGAGCTTTCAACATCAAGGAGTGACATATTCCCTGAGAAAGGACAATTCTTTCTGATATCCACCACCATAAGGATACCAAGAGAATCTCAGGTGTGCATTGGGCCAACTCACAAGTAAAGATAGCTGACAAAGCAACTGAGCTAAAGCCCATAGGCATACATCTGAGTGATCAATAACTCAAGCATACTGTGAACTCTAGCATCCATGTCTTCTCAACACATATGACTTTCCTGATAATTTTATAATGGAGAGTGATAATTTACGTACAAGTTTTTGAGGAGTATTAGCTCAATTAGTAAGTTACCAGACCAAGTAGTCAGGGACAGGATATCAGAAGAATAGCAAATTGCAGGAAAGGGGGATCGTGACAATTCTGTTGACCAATTTCTCTGCTTTTTCACTTCTGAACAAAATAATAGGCACAATCTGTATTTATTTACTTCTAGTGTGCTTTTGCAATGATTCATTTTCTTTCACTGCTGGACCTATAATAACATTAGGCATTTTGTACTAATTCAGTCTCAATTTACTATATCATAAAATGAATTCTATTTAAAATGATTATGCTTCTTTGCACAAAAGGAGGGGGAAGATCATAAGAGCCAGAGGTAGTGGAGGACTCCAAGGAAGTAGAATCTTCCAGACACAACAGAACTGGTAGACATGAATTCTCAGAGATTGTGCCCTAAGACCTGGTTCAAACCAAACAAAATCCTACACTGAAAAGGGAAAGTAGACAAAAATCCCACGTTTATACAAGGAGATACTGGCTACTGACAGCTGCTGGGAAAAGGAAATCAGTTTTCTCCAATGGAGTGACACTGGGAATATCAAACAAGATCCAGGGCAGGCAATATTCTCTAGAGTAGACAACCAACACAAATAGACTCCATATTTTTTTTCTTGTGAACTTTTGTTTTGCTTTGGTATTCTTTGTCTTTTTTCTAGTTGGTTTTGATTATTGTGGAGTTTTTCTGAATTTTTTGAGATAGAGAGAAACATGAATTTGGGTTGGTAGGGTGGGTGAGGAGAATCTGAGCCAGTTTAGAGAAGGGGACAGAATATGATCAAAATATATTGGGTAAAAAACATCTTACAAAACATGGAATGTTCATTCTTCTCAATGAATGTATATAAATGGGACTGGCCAAGATTAGGACATTCAAAAATTTGGGAGTATTAAATTTCCACTTGCTACAAAAATTTACTAATCTGAATCACATAAAAACAAATAGCCAAAGAACAGACAGCTTTCTTAGCATGTCTTTCAAAGACCTCTGGGTTTGACCTGTCCCTGGTGTCTATCTGGCTTTTTGGAACCTGTTTCCCATGCTGAATTGCTTTGCCCAGTCTTGCTGCAGGGGAAGGACCTTGGTTCTGCCTCAATTTATGTGTTCTGCTTTGTTCAAGCCCATGGGAGACCTGCTCCTTTCTGAAAGGAGACTGAGGCCAAGTGGATTGGAGGAAGTGGGTAGATGGAAGTCTAAGGAAGGAACTGGAGGAGAAGAGAGAGAGAAAACTGTGGTTGGTATGTAAAATAATGAAAACAGTTAATAAAATAAAATTAAAGAAAAAAGACCTCTGAGTCTTCATATTTTCTTTCCTTTTTGTCAATTCCTATGTCCTTTTCTCTGGACAACATAAGTCCCCAGCCTTTCTTGACGATGCTACCTTTGGCTGAGTCTCCAGAGGGATATTTCTTTTAAAGACTGAACAGATAAAATGTTACCATTTTATCAAGATTTTGTCTTTTGAAAGTAATTTATTTTTGCTGGCTGTCCATTTCTGTTTGTGAACCATTTACTCCCATTTGAAAAAAAAGAAAACCACTTAGGCTATATGGTTTTTAAAATGTGAAATGATGTAAAAAAACTAAATTTCTGCCTTCCGCATTCAGAACCTGCTTGAGAAGACAGAAATCCCAAATATATATATATATATGAGGTATTTATCTTGTTAATGTTATATAAATTGTAAAAAAAAATGATGAAGAGAGGGAGCTAATGAAGAAATTAGGGCTGATAATATTCTTTCCTAGAGACAGACTGCCTATCAAAAATCCCTGTACCAGACATGAGAAGCCCTTTTTGAGCTGTAGGTCCATGTTCCCGTTTGAGTTACTATTGTGATAAAACATCATGATCAAAAAGCAAGTAGGGGAGGAAAATGTTTATTTGGTTTAAACTTCCATACCATGGTCACTGAAGAAAGTCAGGACATGAACTCAAGAAGGGATAAAACCTCGAGGCAAGAGCTGATGGGGCATGAAGAAGTGCTGCTTATTGGCTTGCTCCCCTTGGCTGGTCCAGCTTGCTTTCTTCTAGAATCCATATCCACCTGCACAGGGGTGGTCCCACCTTTTGCGACTAGGCTTGCCTACAACTTAACCTTATGAAAGCAGTTTCTCAAATGAGGATCCCTATTCTCCAGTGACTCTAGCTTATGTCAAGTTGACATAAAACTAGCCAGCATAGTCAGGGTTGTCTAAGAGATCCCCAAGATACACAAGCTATTGCTATTGTCCTTGGTTGTTGCTCCCTGAGGATTTGGAAGGTAAGTCCCTGTTGCTACGGATGCCATGCACTTCAGAAACAGGGCCCAGAGCCCTGTGAGCTAGAATTGTTCCCCAAAGAATAGACAAATAGTCTTCTACAAAGGGAAACAACCAATATTCCTATCCATCTATAACACCCATGAACCATAACGACCAGAATGGGTCTATAAATCTTAAGGATAGTGGCCTGCCTGCCCCGGCAGTAACTTAAAGTTCTCCAATTGGAATTCAGACCTGCTCAAGAAGAGGGAACCATACTTGGTACTAGAAACTTAGCCCAACTACCTAGGGCTAGTGAAGTCATGGGCTGTGGAAGAGAAACTGCAACCACCACTTTACTAAACCACCATAACCCCTAATCACAATCTAAACATTTATCTTTAGATTTACAGACAAGTATAGTTCTCACCTCTAAACAAAAAAATCTTTTAGCAACAGACTGAGACAACAGAAAACAGCAACAAATCCAAATACAGAGTTGTTGGGTCCTCAAATGGCTACATCTACAAAGCAACTCCTATACTTAACGTTCAATAAGCACTAGAGAAATTGTGGTGGAAAATTGTAAGAGCAAGAGGATCAGGGAATGTGCAGTGAGATTGTATCAAGTAGCAACATTGGAAACTACACCTGTAAAGTCTCATTAATATGACTGCCTAAATATGAGCTAAATAAGAACAATGATAGACATACCAAAAGGAATAGGAGGAAGCCCACAGGCTTTAACCCCACACAAAGAACTACAGGAAACCAAAAAATGATAAGAATGGAGAAACAGACTTCTCCAGAGAGAAACACACCAATTGATTATCCAATACCATATGATCAGCTCTGAATACATATACAAGCAACATTATACACACTGAGCAGATTATATATAGGAAGAAATACATATGAAAGAATGCAGTAACAAGTAATGAAAAAGACCATAAATTTAAGAGAGAAAAAGAAAAGGTGTGTGTGAAGGTTTGGAGGGAGGAAATGTAAGGAAGAAGTTATGTAACTATTATACCAATATACCAAAATTAACTAACTGCATTATACGGATCTCATTTCGATTTTTAAAATAAAACAGAAATTTAAAACATGTGTTATATGTGAATAAAATGGAATATTTATGGATAGTTGATATGATGCAATTACTGCTGTTTTACAGTATTATAGTACTACTGTATTTATGTATAAAAAATGAATTCTTCTTTTTGGGGGGTATTGCCTAAAATACTTAGAAATAAATGGAATATGACTGAGATTTGCTTCAAAATGACAAGGGAATAAATAGAGGCATCGAAGAAATAAGACTGTCCCCTGAATTGAGGATTGTTGATATACTGAAAAGCACAAGACTGTTATTTTAATGTTCTGTCTACTTTTATGAATATTCAACATTTTCCATGCTAAGAAGAATTTTAAAATAGAGAAAAAGGATATTACTAATACAGATATTTTTGACATTTAAAACATAACTGGCATCGGTTATTTATAATTAATAAGATGAAATGACCAAAATATTCATCTCCCATTTAATTTTTAATTAAAAACAATTCAAGATAGTCATTTAATGCTTACTATGCACAAATCATTAGTTTCTAAAACATCATACCCTGTGTACATCATTCTGTTTCTGAACTGCAGGGACATCACCACCAATAGGTGCCTGGCGGTTCAATTCATCATCTTTCAGCTGTAGCCACACAAGAAGTTCCTGAAGAGAAAGATGCAGACGCTTCCACTGGTCAGAACTTGCTTCCAAATGAGACCTAAAAATTAACAGGATCATACTGTGTCAGAATATCTAGAAGTGTATTTGAGGAGTCTGTTAATTCCATTGCATTGGTTTGATATTGCTATAATTCACACCTATTGTGAGTTATATACCACAGCTGTCAATAAAAAATCTAGCTACCTGATTTTGTGAGTCAGGAAAAAAGGAGGGAGTATTCTAATGACAATTTTGTGGCAAGGCCGCATTCTACCATATGTTTCTTTCCAGACGCAGAATTCTGAGAATTTTGGCATAGCCTTCATGCTGGAATCAAATGTTTTCCTATCCTTTTTCAGCAGATGATTTTTAATGTTTCTGGTAGAAAAAAACAACTTAGACCCAGTGACTAATAAAACCCCTTAGTTTTCATGTGACTCATACTGGAATTCTTTCTGCTTTGAGAAATGGAAAGGTCTCTCCTCACATTTTGACTTTTCCATTTCTACCTCCATGGACAGCCTTTTCCTTTGACTCCTTCCGTCTGGTATCTGTTCCTTTCTGATCTGCTTCCCATATGCTTCTCTTGGCCCGATACCTTTTATTCCTCTGCACCTAGGACTGGTTTTTCACCAAGTTCCAAAGTTTTTTCTCATTGGTTCCCTTGTGTAAAATGTACAGAGACAAAAACTCACATGAAAGAGAAAGCTTCTCCCAAACATAAATAATTTAAGTAGGAGACTGGGTGCTTTGCCATCAGCTGTATTTAGAACATGTTAATCCTTAGAAATCATGTAGGGATATACAAATGAATGATCTGTGCTATAAAATGCACATTTCACTTGAGGAAGAGAAACTAAATTAATAAAATAAATCATCATCCAGAAAACAAAGGGGATAGTTACAGTGCTTTATCCTCAGGTCAATCTGCAACCATGCTGAATCATTTACATTTGATCAGCAAGCACTAATTAATCCATAAAAACTAATGCTGCCTATAACATATATACACTAAAGTCTCCAGGGCTGCCAAGAAATTTAATATGACCTATCCAGATAGAAGAACATGTCCCTTGTCTGCTCAGTAACTTAGCCTGACATTTCCACCATTTAACTCTCTTTCTGGCCTTAGAATTCCCAGAGTATGTACTTTCTACTGAAATTAAATTGTTTCATATTTTCCAAAAGATACTTTAATGAAGACATAATGGTCTTAAAAATGCACAAATAAATGTTCAACCTGATGAATATGAAGAAAGCAATTGGGAAATCCCAGAGAGAAAGAGAGAGAGAGAGAGAGAGAGAGAGAGAGAGAGAGAGAGAGGAGGAGGAGGAAGAGGGAAAGGGAAAGGGAAAGGGAGAGGCAAAGGACAGAAGAGAAGGAGAAGACAGGAAAAGTCCTGTCTTCCCCAGGGTAACAGCAGGAAAGAAAGGGAAAAGAGAAAACATAGAGTCAAAGTGGGCAGGGGTCTTTCTTTTAAAAGGGTCATTTGCTCCTGCATGCAGACTATGCAACTATGGAACCCTGATCTAACCAGGATACTGCCTGAGTACATTCTGCCAGGTGACAGGGGCAGGCCAGCATAATGCCTGAATCCTTACAATAGGTAGAAAGTGTTAATTACAGCATTTCTTATGATTGTGATAAAGCATAAACAATGTTAATATTCAGTGCAAAAGAATTTATTGCTACTATAATGGTAATGTCATACAATGACTTCCTATGTAATATTTAGTATGATGGCATAAGCAAATGTTTATGCATATGAAAAATGAGAAAGTGGGTTACAAAAAAGAAAAAAAATATATTTCTTTTTTTGTAAAATGTTTGTGTGTAGCTAGGTATACATTTGTAAGTACATGCTTGACTCTGCATGGAACTATCTGGAATGACAATCAGGTTGTCTTTTAGAGGCATCTGAAAAATTTTCTTTCATCTTTATACTTACCCAATCTGTAAGAATGTGAATTCTATAATACATGATATAACTACATTAAAAATGTAAACTTTCACTCCAAGTAAGTGAAATTAAACAGTGCAAGTCTTTAATGATATTATTATGTAATAAGCTAACTGCATCATACCATGCTATGAATACAATATAAGAGTACATGCAGATTATATATGGAATAGAGATCGGTTCTTTGTCTATTTCATCCTTCTCTTACAGCCATCACATTTCCCTGCTAAGAATTTAGTTAGATACTAAGAAATCTAATGAGTACTGGTCACAAGGATTCTCTGCAATGATTGAAAGTTACAGTTTAGTTCCATGGAAGTTGAAAGAAGCGATCAGACAGGATATGATGAAAGGTAGGCAGACAGAGGCATATGGAGTAACAGTCAACAGTAGAAAAGATACTGGCTAAATAAATATCTATTGTGTGTCTTTAAGTTGCATGAGGCATTTGGGCTGTAAAAAGGAAGGAAGGGGAACAATGATGTCCGATGCTTGACTTCCATTTATTTGTTATTTGAAGCAAACTAATATAGCTGAATGTTCCAAAAGAGAACTCCTTGCAGGACAAGTAGCCCATGGTGAGATCGTAGGCTGCTGCTTTGACTGGGCAGTTCATACCTTTAATCCCAGTATTCGGGAGGCAGAGGCAGGTGGATCTCTTTGAGTTTGAGTCCATCTAGTCTACAGAGCTAGTTCCAGAATACCTAGTGCTATTACACAGAGACACCTTGTCTCAAAAAAAGAAAAAAAAAAAGAACCCCTCTTCTAGTTTAAATGGTACTGACTGATCACTTGTCAGTCAACAACCGTTTTGTGTTCCCTAAGGGAGGGAGAGCTGTGAAAGCAGAAAATTAATTTCTAAAATACCTAACAGTAATTTAAGAGCATGAGATATGAAGGCTGGGAGAAGCTGGGAGGAGAGGCCAATCACGACTGTTAACATCAGCAGTAGAAGGACATGGGACCAGAGGAGTTTAGAAACTATCAAGTATCTGGGTGAGAAGACTTGTCCTAAGGTATGGGATTTGTCGAAATTTTAAAGTGTTTGATAACTTTCTTAAAACAGCTTCTTACTACTCAGTCCTGGCTGGACTATGACTATAATCAGGCCAGCTGTGACATTACAGAGATCTGCCTGCCTTTGTCTGCTTTCTGAATGTTGGGAATAATGATGTGTAGCACCATACCTGGCTTGTCTTAAGTATATATCTACTGACTGTTTCCTTCTTTTCCTACCAGAAGATTCTAGATGAAGACAAAACCTAAAGTCAGGGACCATAGTATAGGCCTGGGGGCTAAGATAGTCAGAAAATTGTATCCAATTCTTTCAAAGTTGTAGCTCTCCAATTGGATATATGAGATTTTAGAATAACTTGTTTGAAATCTGGATCTCCATATCTTGCCCCCAAAACCTCAACAATTTCTTTGGTTTTTTGAGACAGGGTTTCTCTGTGTTGCTTTGGAGCCTATCCTGGAACTCACTCAGTAGACCAGGCTGTCCTCAAACTCCCAGAGATCTGCCTGCCTCTGCCTCCTGAGTGCTGGGATTAAAGGCATGTGCCACCAACACCCGGCCCTCAAATTTTTTTTAAAGAAGTGCTTTCATAGTTCTTCATCTGAGCTCCAACAACAGTGATAAACAATTTCTTACAGTATTACTGGTAGCTTTTTAATGCTGTATGTGGGTCTTTCTAGGAAAAAGGTTGCTTGACATGATTTAAAGGCAATCTAAACATAAGGAAACTGTATTAGGCTGGAAAATATTTTATTTTAGCATATTAATCTTGTGAAGTATTTCTGAGACATTTGTAATTTATATGTTGGAAGAAATTACTGGTTGTATTTTAATGTCCACCTATCCAGACACTTCTGAAAAATTATCCTGTTTTTGTGTTTGAAAAGCTATCTCCTTGGCACTGAGCTGAACTCCTGGAATCCAGTTGTAGAGAGAGAGGAGGGATGAGCAAAGGGGTCAAGACCATGCTGGAGAAACCCACAGAAACAGATGACCTGATGAGGTGGGAGCTCATGGACCCCAGTCTGACACCTGGAGAACAAGCATAGGACTGAATCAGGACCCCTGAACGTGGGTGTCAGTTGGGAGGCATGGGAACCCTATGGGGCCTCGGACAGTGGAACCAGTATTTATACCTAGTGCACAAATGGGCTTTGGGAGCCCATTCCCTATGGAGGGATACTCTCTCAGTCTATAAACACGGGGTAGGGCCTATTTCCTGCTCCAAATAATGTGACAGACTTTGATGAGCCCTCATGGGAGATCTCACACTCGCTGGGGAATGGATGGGGGTGGGATAGGGGATTGGTGGGGACATGGGAGGATGAGAGGGAGAGAGATCTGGGATTTGTATATAAAATAAGATTGTTTTAATTTAAATAAAATTATTTAAAAACATAAAAAAAGAAAAGAAAAGTTATCTCCTGGAAAAAAAAGCATTTGGTAGTTGTATTTGGAAAGATGGTTTTGTTGTTGTTAGCAAAGGATGTTAGGATTAAGATAAGTCTTAGAGATTACAGTTCAAACACCCTGTTTTGCAATTGTGGAAAAGAAGGACTAGAGATCTAAATAACTGCAGAGGCAATATCTGTTTTATGTCCATATTTACACAGAAAAACCCTTAAGCATCCTGGTTTTAACCAAATATTCTAGATTTTTGAGAAAAATGACCTCTTCTTAGTGGTCAAATGTACTTTATTTATCCTTATCCACTGAGGACATAATCAAAAGAGATAATTTGAAGAGGCACAAAGTGACTACCCACTCCCTATTAATCTTTATTAGTGATGACAAGAGCTTAGTGACTACTAGCCTCTAAAAGGTAAGTGCTGATCTTTGAAGAACAGAAAATTCAAAATTATAAGGTTTAAGAGAAATATAGGACTTTTAGGTGTATTGGCATGTTCTGCATGATATTTAAGAAGCTTTCTGAGACAGCACTCTAAGAAACATACAGGATGATAAAATGGTTGTTATTTCTCTAGATACAGATATTTCAAATGTGATTTGGTTGATTCCTAGTTTGAAATCCTTAATAAAAGTTTACTTTGAAAGGCACACATTCTTAAAGCAAATTGTGTT